GGCGCTAGAAAGCCAAGGAAGAGCCAGCCAGGTTTACTGGGATCTAGAGCCAGTGAGCCAAGGGAGAGCATCGTCGGTACGAATTAGCAGCTGCGTTTCCTGGCATCATCAGCTGTTTGCTTGTGTGTCTGTACGTTAGATTTGTTTTGCCAATATCCTGTTACATACAGGAGTGCTAATCTAAGAAGCTTCATGGTCACATTAATAAGGAACCATTTGACCCTAAAATAATTCTTCACAGAGTTAGTAAGTCTCCTGCATGCTACATTTTAGCTGGTTATAATGAATAACTTCAGAAATCCTCAGCCAAAGACCTAAGTAGTTTAAGGCAAAAGCTTATTGTATAAAAACCTGCAACTGCTGTATAAATAACAGGCCTTCAAGTCAGTAAACACTTTTGCCAAGAAGCCTGGGGGGGCTGAACTGCCCTGCAGAAATATTCTGCCAGTATTACCAGGTCCCTTGCTGCCAGTAGGGACAGCTTTGTGGTCACCTCATCCCTGCCTAAAACTACCCCATATTCAGCCATGCATCCCTGTGGCAGTGGTGGCCACAACACCCCTTACTGTTTATTTCATGGCTCAGAGTTCACTGCACATCACACACATTTAACCTTCCCTTTGCCCTGGCAGACACAGTTTCCCTGCATCCCCACGCTTAACTGGTCTTCCACCACCCCATTTACACACAGAGCATTTTTGTGTGTTTTATCAGCCTGTCTAATGAACTTGCACAAGAGGAGGAGATCTGGTAAACAAACTAATAAATTCAGCAGGGGACAAGTATCACCTTGGGAGGTAATTAACATTTTTCAGCATCATTAAAATCAGACTATGACTCAGTGTTACAACTGACAAAAGACTCATTTTATTTCATGGATTAGCATTTGTGTGCTGCTAGGAGATGTTTACATAGTGCAAATGAGCTGTGCATAGCTGAGGGAAGAAATGAAGACAGGACAGTGGCTGTGCTCTACCACAAGCACACAAGAAGCAGCAGAGACTGAGGATTACGTGCAGAGAGAGGAGCAGGCAGCTCCGGTCATGGTGTCATAAAGCAACTCCATAGAAACCAGGGTCACCTAGGTCTTTCTGTGTGTGCAGCTCAGTATGAGCACAGGAGGCAGAAAGTGTGGAGGAGGAAGATTAAGCTGAAGGTTAAGCTGAAGGTTCATGGAGCATGTGAAAGCTCATTTATACCCCCCTGCGGATGTTGAGTCAGATGGGAATTTGTGAACAGCTATGGGGGAAATTCTCTTGTAGAATAAGGAAACTACTCAGTCCTGACCTGATGAACAATTGTCAAGACATAGCCACGGCTGTATCTTCCTATATGTACTACACGTCTAAAAGCTGGTCACAGGTCAGAAGTTCTTGTGGTGCTTGTTGCTACAGTGTGTATTTAGATTCCTTCTTATTCAAAAGGAAGCTGAAAGTTTTTCTGTCTGTGTATAGCCATCAAACTTATGTTGATGGCTATAAAATTTTATGTGATGTTCAGGGATGCTGATACTAAGACTACTCTAAATGATGTTACTCAGCACCTGAAAAATAGTCAAGAACCTATTTCTCAAAAGATTTAGCTCCCACAGTTCGGGCCAGATTGTCAAAGCTGAAGAAGACTGCTCGCCTCTGCACAATTCAAAGCAGCATAATCCCCAGAGTTACCCTGGAGGAGCTAAGCGCTCGTAAAAGTTCAGCCTGACGGGACTTGACTGAACACCACCATAATGACCCAGCTGTTGCCATTAGCTCCGCAGCAGTTGGATGTGGTTCAATTAACAGGTTTCATGGCTGCTTCTGGAAGCCAACATCCATTAGAAACCTTTAACCTTCAGCTAAGCCTTTAACACCCCTCAATCTGGCTGTGGTCAGTGCTGCTCTCCTGGATAGGCTTCATCATATGTGCAGGTGCATGCCTGAAATAAAGTAATCCTGACATCTGGCAGGAGGTAGCCTCTATCCTCCACTAAGAAAAGATGCACTGGGATGAACATAATTAACAAAAGACTACTTTGTTTTCTATCAGTTGCATATTTGTCAACATTCAGTGGTGCCTTATTATAGTACCGTCTCTGAGGATTCAGCCTATGTGGGGTTTTGCCTTACTGTGTGTGTAGCTATGCTGTCACAAGCCTGAGGAGTTTGTTCCTTGTCTGGTGCTCGTGGTGGGGACTCATGGCTGCACACGGGGACTTGAGCAAAGCTTTGGTCTTGTCTGAGCACATATGAGCTGCCGGCAGGAGATCAGCTTCCCCTGCCTCACTCCCAGAGCTGTTACCTCTCTGTTTCCTGCATAACAAGGTCTGAATGGCAATGAGAATCAGGATGAATGAAGACATGTCCAGTCCAAAACACAGGGACTGGGGCTGCAGCGAGGCTTCCCTGGCTTGCAGGGTGGGTGCAATGAAAGGAGGGTGATGCTCACTGTCATCCTACAGTGCTTCCAGGTCTCTGAGCTGTCCAGACTTATTTGGGACTTACCCTGCCTGAGGCTACCTAGAGTCCACGGAGTTATCTTAACTTCAGTGAGGGCAAAGTCCTGTCCTGATAGATGTATATCAGAAGACTTAATTAAAGCAGCTTATATGTTATACCATATCCTTTTAATACTCTAAAAATATTATAAAACCAAAGTTACATGTTATCTAATTAAATACGATAACAAGATGTAGAAAACAGAATGAATGTAGGATGTTTAAACATTAGCAGCTATGCAAAAATATGAGTACTAAATAGGAAAAATGTAACTACTTCAAAATGATTAAGGTAGATAAACATCAGTTTTCTACTACTTTTCCTGTATTAAAGAGCAGTATACCTTTCTGGACAAACAGACTGTTACATGGAGATACTTTACTGCTTGAGTAGTGCAAATAAACATTTGTGATGACCCTTTTAATCCTTAAAAATATGTATGGGTTTGAAATGAGCACAGCACATACTGTAAAATATTTTTCTGATGTGCTTTTGCTTCTTCCTCTATGGCCCTTTTTGTTTGTCATTACATTACTGGAAAAGGATATCTTTCCAGCACAGTCTGTCTGCATTTACAATCTCACTGGGCAAGTCAGCACAATATGAACATTACCAGCAGCTCTTTTTAAAGATAAATACAAGCATTATAAAGCAAATTAATGTCCAAGGCTTTCTTCTTTTCTACGGCATTAATCAATGTTTCATTCAACAAGAAATAGCAATAAAAACCATACTGTAAAATGTCACTGGAATACATTGAGCCAAATCCTCGGCCCCTTTGCACACAGGGACCATAAGGTTATCCCCATTTGGAAATTTCCCTGGTGTCGTGTGTAGGTGGAGTGCTGTCTTGGGAGTGCTGTTTTTCTCCAGCAGGCTGTATCAAACAGGACGACATCTCAGTGAATATTACCAGTCAGAACAAATTCAAGCAGCTCTGAGGATGAGAGAAGAGTCTTTTTGCCCTTAGACTCTGGTGATGTGAATACATTTGGGTAAAGGAGAGTTTCAAGCAGCCAGAGGAACTGCAGCTGCACAGCAGGGCGAACCCCAATCCCAGGGCGCAGCAAAGCGGGTTGGATTTCCCATGGCCACACTGCTCGGCTGTCACGCAACCGTGTGGCTGTAGCAGCTTTATCTCCAAAGGTGTGCTCCGCAATGTGCAGCGTCCCAGAGGAACTCTGGACTGGCTCAGCCATCTCTGTGTGGCAGCACGTGGGGAGTCCCTTAGAGCTGCACACAGAGTCCAAAGAAAGGTGAATGGGAAGGGACATTTTTTTTTTCTGTCATAATCTAGGGAAAAAAAAAAAATAAAAAAAAAAGAAAAAAGCTGTCTCCAAGCAACTGACAGGCAACTTTTGAAAAAAATATAGATGGTCTGATCGCTGTCAGGATCCACGATGTGCCATCCATCTTCCTAGGGCAGACGCTGCATAAGAACATTGCCTGCTCAGATTCAAAGTATTCTCATGCAGCCATAGCCATTGAAAATATTGGTAAACAAACCTGGTCTGCACGGCCCTTCTGTCCTGGAAAGTACTTACATGATGCAATAATGCTTGTGCAAGAGCTGCAGAGAAACACAGCATCACGTGTAGACCAGCCCCAGTTCAGTTTATAGGAAGAGACAGGAGTTTGCTTTCCATTGGTGGTGTTTTTCTTTGGTTTTTTGTTTGGTTGGTTGTTTGCTTGGTTAGTTGGTTGATTGGTTGGTTGGTTTGTTATGTTTTGTTTTTTCTTTGCTAAACATTGCTAGTACATGAAACGCTGAAAATGTTTATTACATAGCACAGAATAGTACTTGTGGATCCTAAAATTTGCTCCAGGACAAATATTTACCGACAGCAAAAAGTAGTAACATGTAGGGTTTTGCTTTGTTTTAATCTCTCTCTCAAAAAAAGAATCAGTCTGAGGAAACACCTTCCTGAAGCGAGTCCATGTGCCTTTTTACCTGGAGGTTCAGCAAACTCCCTTGTGGCGATCAAACTGCTGAATCTCCAGGCAACTAATGCTTTATTGCAACACTCATTTACTGGTGTTTTGCAAACTCATGGACTTCCACTGACTGCAGAGTAGTTACTCTTGACTTACGGCTGTTTGAAAGAGATTGGATTCTATTTAACTTGAATTTGTTGCTGTATTTCTTGTTTAGGCAATAATAAGATCTTAACTCTGCAACCAAAAGTTTAACAGAAGAGTTCATTAACTTCTGTGAGATATGCTGTGAGCCTCAGCTAGGACTGCAGTGTCATTCCTCTGGATTAATCAGAGCTGAAGATTAAAGTCAGGTTGAATTATATTTAACTTCTGCTACAGTGGAGACTGCTACTAGCGTACTGAATACTGAAGCTAGGCCACTTATTGCTGAAATGTGGGAGAACCCATTTCCTTGCAGGCACAGGACTTCACTGTGAGCAGAGTGCATTGCAGAGGTGGGAACTCACAGGGTATAAGAAAATGAAATAGAAAGATCCAGTGTCCTCCTTGGGTTAAAGAAAAGTTATTCTGTCATTCCTCGAAGGTTTACTGAATTTTGTAGAAGCTAGACATTGTGACATAGGCTTCCTCATTGCTTGGTGACCTTGTTTCACTGGTAAGCAGCATCCGGGATACCGTGTCAGCATTTAAGGGCTCTGGTCCAGGCTGGCCAGAGGGATCCAGGGGAGGGGTGGGGGAAAGGTTGGAATCATCATTGCACAGGGGCACCCCATTGCTGTGGCACACCTCATATGTGCTGGAGCTGCACTTGCCTTCAGCGACTGCAGACTGGCTGGGGCACAGGAAACACTGCCGGGTTTCAGCTGGCCAGGTTCCTCCGTAAGTCGCTGGCAGGTTTGGATTGCTTTTGTCTGTCATCGCAGGGATCACCTTCGGGTCTGAGCTGCCTCTATATTTTTCTGGAAGGTTTGTCTCTGGAGCAGTTGATGGCTGCAGAAAGTTTTCTAATTCAGCTTTTTCTCGAATGCCATCCACTTTATGGATATGAACATAACCAAAACTCTCTGGGTTAAAGCTTATATCAAAATTCTGTGTGCAAAGGGAACAGCACAGTCTGTTAACAGTGGGTATTAGCATAAGAGAAAAGATATTTTAACAATTCATTTGACTTTAGAAGTGTATTTATTATTTCTTTGACTGTTATTCTGAGCAGGCTGAACAACAGGTTAACAGAGAATAAGCTATCATGTGGCTTAAAATCCTTTTCCGTATTAGTGTGAATCTATCTAGTGGCCGCCTGCAGGCAGCACCACTGGAAAGTGTTTTAGGCTCTGTGCAGCGTAGTGGGACCTGGTGTTTGAGAGACTTCTCTGAGCCACACATCTATTGCATGCCTTCTATTTCACAGGAACGGGTGTGCCAGCCCAGGCAGTTCCTTTCAGTTTTACCTTCTGTGGTAAAGGAGGTGAAAGTTTGCCATGACTGCCTGAAACACATTAGGAATTTCTGCACTGGGGACCATGGGAGGTGTGGGCTGAGTGTTGTCTTAAACCTCTTATTATAAGAGCATGCTAAAAATGTACCAACTGGAAATAACAGTGCTGATGAATTTCTTAGTGAAAAAATACACTAGTCACATAGTTTTAAGGCAACAGGTTAATTTCACATCTTATGGTTTGTATCATTTGTCCATCTGGCTTTTATCTGGCAAAGCAGTTCGTGTCTTGCATGGTATATGAGCAGTTCTACTGGCTGTGTAAGGGTACACAGGCATCAGCAGGCATGTTTGGAAAAGGTCCCCATCCACCCTACAATCCGAGTTTCATAGAATCACTGAAGCATCTTGGCTGGAAAGGACCTCTGGAGTCCAACAGGTCCAACCTTCTGCCTGAAGCAGGACCTGGATTGTGTTAACCAGAACCCTATCAAGCCAAGCCTTGAGATCCTAGTTCTTCTCTAGGCAACCTACACAACGTTTAATTTTTCTCACAGAGAAAGATATATTTTTTTCTTATATCCAGATGAAGTTTACCCTGAAGCAACATGTGCCTGTTGCTGTTGGTTCTGTCATCATGTAGCCTGGGAGCAAGAGCACCTCCACCATCTGTCTACCTACACTTTAGGTATTGGCAGGTTGTGACTAGTAGTCCCCACTCTGTGTTTCCTCTTTTCTGTACAATAATTTATTCCCTTCAACTTTTCCTCATATATCAACTTCTCCAGCCCTCTCTAATTACTTTGCACAAGCCCAAGCTCAGACACCTGTTAACTGTCTGTTATTTACATACCCTTGACAAGGATCTGCCCATACAAATGTGGGCTCTCTTCATTGAAATGAAGGAGTCATTTCTGAAAAATGCCCCCGTTTGTTAAGCAAATATCTGTACTGTCTCTCATGAGTGTTGATTTTGTTCCAAATAATCTATACTCAGATGAAAACAACAGTGGAAATACATACATTTTTTGGCTTCTTGCATAGATGCTCCAGCGTCTTTTTATGATCAGGAAGGTTTGGCCACATGACAGGCTTGATCCTTAAACAGCAACAGGAGACAAGAAAGAATTCAACAGCAGCAAAAGAAGGACATGTTGAGATATCAGTTTCATATTGCATCATTTGTACTTATTCTCATAAAGCCTTAGGGCAGGCTAGCATTACACAGAATAATGGCAGAGAAGCCTCACAGTAGAAACGACAGGAGAAGGGGAGTTTTAAAGGTCACTGAATAGCCATTATTCTTTTGAGTGCACAAATTGTGACATTTAAGGGAAGACACTTCACCAAGTACTGGAAAAGCAACAAATTATGCTGGCACAGAGCTCATTTCATCTAGCTGTGTTAACAGGATTTTGCACCATGAAACCAATTTCTGCAAGTGAAGAAAGATGTTGTGGTTAAAGTGCAGATTTGCTGATATTTGCCTCTACATGTTTACATAAGTCAAAGGACAGCATATTGTCCCACTCCTTGGCCAGCTCTCTCTGCTTCAGACACGTGTATTGTAGCTGTTTTTTCAGCAGTTTTCCACAAACAGAACTTCTAGCAAAGCCAGGGAACTGAAGGTGCTCAGCAACAGTAAAAAACAAGAGCTAGGAATCCCAAGCCACACCTACACTTGCAAATAAAACAGCACCATGGAACATTCCCTGACAGATAACTCCAGTGTCCAAAATATTTAATTATTAAAATTGTTCTTGACATGGTTTGACTGCAGCCAACTAGTTTATTTCCAGGAATTCCTCATGTGTAATTCAGGAGTTAGCACAGCACAGGTGTTGTCCCCAAAAAAGCAGTTTCCGTGCAGCCATCGCTCTGCCTGGATGTACTGGAGTGGGATGTCATGGACAGGCTGCTGTGAATGCCACCCAATAGGCCTGGGCTTTCTGCCTTGAAAGGGGTTCATCTCCTGTGGCTAAACTTGGGACTTCTTAAAATTCAAATTCTGGTTTCACCAGATTATCTACATATCTGTTCGTTTTCTTATGTTTGTCATCTATTCTATATAAACAGATATAGCCACGTGTTTCAACATACATTTACAGCTATGTACTGCTGTGTAGACAGCATATGAAAAAAACCCAATGCAGACAAAGGACTCTGTGATGAATGAGTCACCAGTCCCACCTCTCCCATGGCTGTTTTGTTATGGGACGTAGAGCCTGGTTTTGCCACATGTGGCTGGATGCGGACCCAGCTGGGCTGTTGGCTAACAGCCCGTGTTACAGAGAACTCTGCCCTGCTGCTTCCGAAAGGGCTGCAGAGCAAACGTTCTGCTGACTCAGCCTGTGAAAGAGAAAGAAGCGATCTCCACAGTATATAATTTCCACACTCAGGACTTTACTAAAATCCACAGGTTGCTTTCTTTTCTGGATCTTGCTTGAAGCTTTTGTGGCAAATTTGGCCTCAGTGAGACAGAGGACTCTGTGTTTCACAGTGACTTCAGCTCCCCAATGTTTCGAGCTCAAGATCAAATCTGTTCAAAGCAGCAGGTCATTTTCTGCCTGGCAACACCCTCTTGTACTGCTGACTTCTACTCTTTGCCTGCCTTTGGCTTCATATAGAGGTCCATGAACAGAAAGAGCATAGTTCACAAGTATAATAGGGAAAGCAATGGCTGTCAGAATAAGATTAGCTTCCAAAACTTTTTCTGATACAAAGAGACTTAGATTACCTGTTTTCCCAAAAAGTTACAAACAGGACAATCATGACAACGGATAGCATGAATCCCAAAATGGCGAGTACGACCACAACCATGCTGCTGTCTAAAGAAAAACAAAAACATCAGCAAATGCATGTAAATGTTACACTGTTAAGCCATGATAGCTGTAATGTCTTTTCAGCTAATAAATGAGGAATTAATGGCAAGCTTTGCAGTTGCCTGTCGTTGGACCGGTGCTGTTGTGCGTTTCTCCCTGAAGGAGGAAAGAACTAGGCTGACAGAGCATCTGCACTTGTTTGAGCTCCAAGTTTGGTTCCCGGACTGGGTTAAAGCAGATTGAAGTCTGCAGTCACCTCCAGTGTGTTGAAACCATCACTCAGTGCATCCTTACAGCAGCGGTGAAGTGACTTCTAACACATAGTGCCAAGGTGCCCCTGGGGACTGGGGGGATCCCAGGGACCAGAAGGATTATACATGTTTACAAGTGCAATGGTGGGATTTTATCCCATACTGTATTTGTTATTAAAGTGCCATGTTCACACACAAGTCCAGGGCCTTGAAATGGGTCATGTTTTGCTCTCCTAATCTAAAATGCTCAGTGCAAGCTGGTCCTTCTCCCTGCACAATAGCAGGCAGCAAGCAGGAGTAAGTCAGCCATTACCTCCCTTTACACCCCCTCATGCCCTTACAGCAGCACTTCATCTGATCTTATCATGTGGAGAGTCAGGCCCCAACCAGAGCCATACAGCTGCTTTCTGGGTCATGTCCTCTGGGACACCCAGTGCCTGTGAGGGCTGACCCTGCTGTGGTTGTGGGCTCTTCCATCCCCATGCTCTTGGCATTGCTGCTGCCAGGGCTGGCCAGAGAGCCAAGAACCCCTAGCTCTGCTTTATTCCAGATGAACCAAAGTGGTTTTGGCCCTTACAGCTCTCCGTGAAGTGCAGCTCCCTTGTGGTCCTGAAGCTCTTGGAAGCACTCCATTCACTCCATATGCCTTTAAAATAGTCTCCGTTGGGCCGTGAACGTACTTTCACCTCATACGATGCATCATTTTCAAGGTTTTTCCCCAGTAATTTTACCTGAAGGTATGGCAATTCTATTGTCTAAACACATAAAAAAAAAATCCAATTATTTTTCTAGACAACACAGGAAAAGTATCTTTGAGTTTCAGCAAAATGTGCTAGATCAGACACATCCCTACAGTACTGTGCTGTTTGCTCCATGTCTTTGGTTGTTATACACGTATTCATCATGGCATCAGTCTAGTTTAACAGTGAGATAGTCCAGACAGCATTGAGAAGAGAGGCTGACACCAGGTAAAAGCTCTTTGGAAAACAGCTGGAAGTACTAACTGTGCTTCAGTACTGCTGACACTACAGTAGGAGATATGTGCTTCCCTGGCAAGGCTCTGAAGAAAAAAGGGGGGGAAAATACTTTAGTGCTTCATAAAAAGACAACTTCTGAAAGAGCAGCTACAGGAAAGGAGCTGTGATCCCACCAGTGCGTCTCTGGTTATCTCTATTTCAGTGTATTTTAGTTGCCTGAACCCTTTTTTTTTAGTTACAGATCTCCTATGTTCCCTCTGTAAAAACCAGACGTAGTTCATGCTTTCAGTCACCCCTAATCTGGACTAGTGTTTGCGTGGCTGTTCTGGTAACAAGGGACGCAGAGCTCCTAGCAGCTGAGTAGCACAAAACAGATCCAGTTCACAGCCTGAAACACAGTCTTGAGGACAGAAAAGCTACAGGGCAGCACCTGAAGCCTGGACATGCTCAGTGAAAAAGGCTCACGAAGAAACTGTTGCTAAATAAGAAAAGGGGTCATGTGATTTACTGAGCAGTGAGCACAGAAAATAGGAGCAAAACCACCACAGCAAAAAGCAAGCCATCCAGACACTTAGGATTGTTCATTACATCATGGCCTCTCTTCCCACTGCAAAGCCCAAAGAATGAAACTTTGTTAGACCAGAGAAACGTCTAAAAAACGTGAGTGCTGTCAGTCTGGAATTATGTCAGCTGATGAAATTTCAAAAATGCCAAGTATTACAGCTTTCCCAGTTTTCAGCTGAAGAACTATAGAAGTGCAGGTTTGAAGGTTTTTACATGATACTGGTGTTTCGGATAACATTATAATTTCAAAATTAGTGTATGTTCATAAATACATCATTACTTACCTTCCAAGTACCTTCTTCCTCCCGATAGGCTGTTTGGTGTGTTAATTTGTCCTTTAAGTACTTCTTCCGTGAGTGTGGTGTACTATAATGAATAAGATATTCATTTGCCTCCTTTTGGTATGTGATGTTTACATTGAATGGTGCTTCAGGTTTAACTGAAAATCATAACAAACCAGGATATAACAGGAATAGAGGAATGTTAAGACAAAATAAACAGATTTGAAAAGTAAATAAAAAAGTTCAGCTTAAGTTATATCCCATGCAGAGTGGCCTATCCTGAAGAAGGTTTGGGCTGAGCTAGGTAAACCTTATGCTGAGGACTTTGATCCTAGCAGGGTCTGGGTTTTGACCTGCTGGAACAGCAATACAACCATCAGGGATGGTGTGTCCTAGGGATTTGACATTTAGTCTTAGAAAGAAATTCTGGAACACACCCACCCCAACAATAGCACTGCTTGAAGTCCTGAATTCCATTTTCTCTAACCAATACTCTGAGATGGAAACCCCATAGCAAAACCTACTGCAGACCTGTGAGGAAGACACTGGTGAGCGAACTGGGTACAGTGCAACTGTCAGTGGCCATCAGGGTGGTGGGACGGAGGAAGGGACAACATATGACAGCATCAGGTATAGAAGAGGGGCCTGTGGCTCCAGGCCTTTGCTATGGAGCTACACCTGACCTGGACTGCAGGACACTGTGTCAAATGACCATCCACACAAGTACATCAAGTCCAAAATTTAACCCCTGGGACTCTCTCCCAATCTGTGCCTGAGATAGACATCCCTGAGGTCTTCACCTGTGTCTGTGTCACCAAGGCTTCCAAAATGTGCCATGTAAAGTACATCAGCTCCCAAAGGAACAGACAGTGTACACCTCTCTACTCTCAGGAAAATGTGTATAGCAAGAAAGTATGCCTAGTCCTCCTGCAACCCCAAAATACTTAATCCTTCTGTGCAGAACCTGCAGTTTCTAGAGAAGAGACCACTAGAGACAGTCCAGGTTGGCCCATAAGCTGAGAGGTAATGTAAGATTATTACAAAACTATTGGACTGAGGCAGAAATGTTTCATAACAGAAGGATGTTACAGTGCCTATTGCCAATGGAAGGCAAAGAAATGTGGCACCAGAGCAGAACAGACTATGTATATCGACATGGGCTTCTCTGTAGCTCTCAAATGAGACCAGGTTTCAAGAACCCCTTTTCCCCTGAGTTCTATATTTCTTGGCTGAGGCAGATCCCCAACACAGCTTTGATGAGCCCATTCATGGGTTCTCGGTGTGCCTTCTGAGATGGAGAATGCCTCGTTCAGACAGCAGGCTCCACCAAGAAGCCAGGTGTGAAAAAGTGAGATCTAGATCTTGCAACCTTGCAGTCCCTGTGCTACCAAGCTCATGCTAGACTTCAGGTGCTCAGCCCTGAAACTGCACAATCCCTAGTAAGAGATGAACAAAATGTCCCTGCTTAACAGTTCACCAACGCCCAGGAACAGCTGCTTTGCCCATGTGCATGATTTAGTCTATGTCCAGCTCTGGGGTGAATGTTACAATAAGCCAGAATTCACATTTTGCACATTTTGAATGGAAGTTAATAATTTTTGGCATTGAAGCAACCACACTCTGCCGACACCCCAATCCAGGCTACATGCCCTGTTAGGACATTATTTTATACTGCCTCTGTGTAATCTGGATTGACACTTAGACTTTACACTGGGCTATTTTTTTTTTCCCTAGTAATCACTGTATCTAAAGAATGTCCAAACCATTCAGTGTCTTACCAATGTCAGTCACAACCAGATTCCGGCAGACCCTTCTCTTTGTCTCAGAGTCCATGCAAATATCTTTATTTGTGAGTATATCCATGAATTGTAAGAAATACACATCTTGTCGTTTCTCCATATTGAAGCACAAGTAATTGCTGTCTTCCTTGGTACTGTTGACCAAAGTGGCATAAAATTAATTTCTCCTCACTCTTATTGTAACATAACAAGGGACAAATCCTGGTTGCTCATTTCACTTTAGCTGAAGTGAGGCTCCATATGAAATACGAAAAAATGTCATGCAGGTAAGGAGTTAGAAAGATTGATAGTGTTTTGATTTGTGGTCTTTGAGCACAATAATCAAGTGATGTGAGTCACGGTAAGAGACCTGGAGCTCTCCAAGAAAAAAAAGTAATTATTAGATCGTTGATGTATGTGTTAAAAATATTTGTATACTTAAGAATGGCCTTATTGCTGCCATTTTTAAACATAGGGCAACAGATTTGCATGCTCTCTGAAGACAGAAATATTTATTGTTGACTGAACTGGTAACAAATACAGGGTCAAGAGTCAGCCAGGATATGAGGGACTCATGTAGCACACTTTCAGACATGGAAATGTATCTGTGTGTTCCTCCACCTGTGTGACTCCCACATTTGAGGATGGTCATAAAATTTCAGTCAAAAGAGTGATTAGAATAGCAGGATAAAAAGAATCCACTTCTTTTACTGGCTGCTGCAGAACTTTCAGTTTCAGGGAAAAAAGGCAAAGGGAAAAGCAGAAGTATGTTAAAGAAACAAAATCTGAGCTTCTTCAGCTATATGCATCAATTAAAAAAAAAAGCGGGGGGGGAGAGTTTTAAGGCCTCAATGAGAAGTGCAGGTGACTGATGTGTTTGGCAACTGTTCATCTTCATGGACTCATTCTAGTGTGTGTGTTTTGTGTTCTATGTGTGTGAAGATAATTGCTTAATTTTTATCTTGACCTAGAGAAAGACATTTTCACTGAAGTGTGAAATCAGCCTGCTTGCCAAAGAATTTTCTGTTTTCTAAACCATGTTTCCTTCTCACTTGATGAAGGTTAGGTCTGTTGCTTTTTTTTTTTTTTTTGAAATATGATTTAGTTTAAAAGAAAAATTATCTCAGTTCTGCTGGGCTACATCCATAACTACAGGGGTTCCAGAGTAATAGAGGTAAGATCATGCCTACTGCAGATGTTATAATGCCCTTTACAGAACCTTCCACCTGATTTTTTTTTTCTTATTAAGGAGTCAACATTCTGTTTCAGTAAACTCTTCTTTGCTGAAAATAGTGTCCAAACATGGCAAAATACTCTGAAACAGAATTTTGTCTAGCTTTGCTGCTCCTGCTCCCCAGCATACAGCAATGTGACTCATTGGTGCTTAGCATCTCACTTCCCAGATGTTTACTGAAGGATGGACTGACAGCACTTACCACAGGGACAGGGTATAGTTAGTGTTGTGAAGAGGCAGCTCAGTAAAATTGCACGTCAGGCTGCTATAGGAATCCCTAAATTCCAGCTGGCTGAAGCAGTCGACGTCAAAATTGTCTGATTCATCATCTCCAAAAGTCCCTAAGGAGAGATTTGCAGCATGTTACTAAAGCAAACCTGAGAGTGTATTCGATTTGCAGTACCATTGTATAGAAGGTTGTTCCTTTACGTGGTTGCCTGAAAGGAAAAGGATCAACCCACTTGTTTTGTGAGAGGCGAAGGAAGCTTGTTCAAAATGAAATTAAAAGCCACTTGCACCTTTCAAGGTTGCTTTCCCTGCAAACCAGTGAAGCTCACCCACTCACCATGCACAAAGGTTCTGTGAACTATAAAAAGGAATAACATTGCAGAGAGTCTGGTCAAACAAGACACCTTAGTATCTATTCTTTTCTATTAATCATCAGCAGAGAGGAGCCCTGATGTCAGCCTTGAAACCTCTGTGAAAAAGTCCCAGTATCAAGTGTAAAAGAGAGAAAATATATCATTCAGTTTAATTCCTCACAAATTTGAGCCAGAAATGGAAATTCTTACTGTAAAATTTACAGATTAACTTTATACCAAGATAAAAGCAGGACCTACACCATTTGAAGATCACCTCAGAAATTTCTCAAACAGATTTTCCTACTAGGAACCACAAAATGCTGCCGTACTTGAGCCTGTGAAGGAGAGCAAGACATGTTCGTGATGCCTGTCAAAAAGCAGAATATTCAAGTGAAGACCCAAAACACACTTGAAAAAAAAAGAAACAGAAACATGCAGTAGGGCATATACCCTGCACAGTTACTGTTAGAGGTGTCTGGGGCTGATGTTCAAGGCTAACATTTGCTCAAGAGCAAGGACTAGTTTCAACAGCAGTTATCTGTATGGAAATTTTCAGCTCAAGACAGCCTGAAAGTACATCCAACGCCTTGTAGCCCCAAAGTGGCAGACCCACAGCCAAGGACAGACACTTTGCAGTTACCATTGCTGCACCTGCATCAGAATCAGCCTGGCTGCAGACAGCCAAAAGTGCTAGACCAATGTTCCCCCTTCCCACACTGTGAATGCCTGGCCTGTTACCAGGTTCTAGAAAACCATATAGGTAGTTTTAGTAAAGCAAGAATGTTTTGGTGTCATGATGCAATTAAACCCCGTTTTGATTGTAGTACAAAATTTTCTGAAATGTCACAAATTTTGGCTCAGGAGGGAAAGGTTAGACTTTCTGCCAGAATGCATGGCTTCCTGCAAATTTGCTTCGATGACTAATAAAACAATCGCGATTTGACTAAGAGCATATGTCTCAAGTCCTGCACTTGGCAGGTATAAGGTCAGTGACACAAAACCTGATACTTCTGAGAGGAGTCTTCTCTGGTGGAAATTGCCAGTTCAGCCTCATTTCATGAAATCTCACCCACCATAGCTGAGCAGACAGAGAAAGGATTATTGCCATGACACCTTGAGTGAATCTTCAGGGCAGGAGTGCCTCTGTCTCCTTTACTGATGGTTAAGGGTGGCTGTGGCAACACATAACCCAACCCTCTTCCAGGGACTATTCCAAATTCTCTACTTGATCTTCTCCTATCCACTTCTCAGATGTGCCCTTGCCATGCAGGGCACCTGCCTCAGCGGGAACAAGACCTTGACTGCTCAGGGGATATCAGCAGCTCACATTTACAGTGTGAGGAAATGCCTGTGGAAACATTTCCAATGGAAAATCCTTCCCAGAGAAAATGATGGCCATCTCTGCTGTCACCCAGGTGAACTAGATGACTGAGGTCTGACCAGCTACTTGGATACCATGATTCATAGTCCTGCCAGTGATGTCCTATTATCCCTGGTTTATTCTGCCAGCATATAGGGAGACCCAGACCTTGTTCAGCATGGGAACACGTCTAAAGTTCCAAAATGATCATAGTGTGACAGCAAGAAGAAAGTAGAGGGGAGTTTTTTGATTGTTTTAAGGTGTAAGTAAAGAGTATCACCCCACAGGCTCGCTATCAGCAGTGCTTCCTCCTGATCTTGGAGCTGAGGTGCATCTGGAATCGTGTTTTGAGTAAGAGAATCTCAGAAGTCAACCAGGGATGCAGAGCAAAACACAAAAGCAGTGTGGACAGTGCCTAGGAGGGTGGCTGCTGCCACCAGCACCTGTCGTGGGCAGTAGGAAGGATAGGAGCATCTGATGCTGCACTAATTCTCAACTCAAAGGCAAATGCACCTCACAAACTAAGGTTTAATGGCCATTTGCAACCATGACCAACCCCTGCTATGAAGCCATTACTGGCCTTCCTTTCTCAAGGCAGCTCTGGCAGGGCTTGTCCCAAGGGGAGACCAGCTTTTCCTGAAGGACAACATAATGTGGTCCTCCATCAGCGCTGCTGCTTTGAGGGGATAGCCTGTGCAACACAGACACAGACAAAACTGGTGCTGTACAAAGCTGCTCTGTTTGACCATCATATTCAAGAAACAGACACAGAGGTCAGCACAATTCTAGAACAATCCCTGCAGCAGTTTCACACAGGTGAGAGTCTTTACCTGTGGAGCCCTGCATCATCTGGGTGGACACGCACGTACAGAAATGCCATAAAGTTACATATTTGTGGATAAAAGCCTGTGCTATAGATAAAAGTATATTTAAAATCCAAAGGATAAAAGGAAGCTGAAATAAATCTGCATAAAATAATAATTTTTTTTTTAAAAAAAAAACATTATATAGATAACACCCAAAGCTCACAAGCACGGATAGGTCTCATTTTATGCCTTCCTAAGATTTGCAACAACCAGGAGACTGGCTTATTTTCACTCATAGCTCCCTTAAGACAACACTTAAATTTATGAATTAGGATGATGGATCTTCCTTTATAAGGAGAGAGAGAGAGAGAGAGAGAGAGAGAGAGAGAGCGCGCACACCTACTTGGTACTCAGATGCATATATCAGATTGTGCATGAAAAAAAAATATGATCATCATATAAATAACTGGTATATCAGAAAAAAATGTTTCAGCTGTCTGCTAGTGCTTTGCTGAAAAGTGACAGAAATTTTAATTCATTCTCTCTCAAGCTGACTGCAAAATGAAGAGAAAGAAAAGGTTTTGCCTTGCAGTTCAAGCAGCCATTTAATGTTTAACCAGCACCTTTGCTGTGGCACTGGAAAGAAAGCTGACTACCTGCTTGACACTGAGGTTTCACATGGTGATTACATGGTTCCTTTCTCATTGAAGTAACATCCTAACCACAAAACATATTATAATCAAACCTAAATAAGTGTTAAGTAAGCAATCTGAATGTTTTTTTCTGGTATGGTTCCTCCATGGGCTCACCCTGTTTTTTTCTGTCTGACATAAATATGCGTGTAGCCTCAGTTACACTTTTTCCCTAAACCTCACAACGACCACACATGAGCGTGTTTGCTGCGTTAATGGTTTTAATGACTCCAACATGACTCACACTGCTAAGGACTCCTTACACAATGAAAAGTTTATGTGATGAGACTTTTTTCCTTGAGAAGTCCAGACCAGGCAGAGCCCTGAACCTGGCTCTGATGAAACCAAGGCATGGCTTGAGATGGGGCAATTCTAGCAGTAGAAAAACTGCTCTCATAGATACAGAAATAGCAGGTATTTCTCAGAAATGGCTGTCTCTTGGATTTGGACAACACCCAGAAGTGTGGTTCAAATCACATCAGGAATCTCACAAGCCTCTACAAAGAGAAGAGTGTTAGCAGGGGATATGGACGTGCTTCAGCTTTAACCTCTGAAGCTACTGGTACTAAAAACAACACATGAAACCAAAGGCACTACTAAGCACCTGCAGGATCAGTGACTGAATTTCCAAAGTCAATGAAATGACTGCCTCACAGAGTAATGTGAAAACCCTAGTGCTGATCTGATTCAGGCAGAACTTGTTGTAATCACAAGTTTTGAAGTGCGTTGAACAAACCATACAATTCTGGATGGGAGGACTACCATAGTCAGCCATCCTACTCATGAGACCTTCCAGCCTGCTTTCTCTTGCTTCCCCTGCCCGTGCCCTCCCGCACCTCCTCAGCTGCCCCTTCTTAGCTCTTGCAGTCCTCTCAGGGCTTTTAGGGATCTCCACCACCTCCGCCAGGCTGGGGGAGAGTGCTTGGAAAGCAGTCCATTTCTCAGAACAGAGAAGGAGACGAAGGCAAGTGCTGCAATGAGCTTTTTCCTCCTCTGCTCATAAGAATGGGTGAGCTTATGTCTGGTCAGACTTGGCCAGGAGACAGGGCAGATTGGAAATGCTGAGTGAAAGCCAAACATCCATTACAGTGATTTTACCATGGATTGTTTAATTTGGCAGCCAAAACCATGAGTCTCATAAAGAGTTGCCAATTGCTCTGTGGGGATTTTCTGAATCTGTTTGGTTTAAGTCTAAGCAAATTATTGTTTCCTAGAAGTTAGTAACAAAACACAGAAAAGTCCAGTCATATCTGCTTTTGGGAAGCCCTGAAGATTTCAGTGACACCAGTGTAAAATCACTAGCATTGACCATTCACCACTGCAGCTGCTTGCCAAAGCTGGCCCTAAACAGCAGCAGATAAAATAAATAAATAAAAGACAAATAGAATAAAACCCAAGGTAGTTAGATGCAGTTCTGAGCCACTCTCTCTTTTCTTCTAACTAGAAAAAGTTATCATGCATAGCATATGAATGTATGTACATATATGTACATACATACATGTTATAATACATGACACAAAAAGGAAGACAAGATCCCCTACCTGTGAGACAGAGTAGGAACATAGCCATTATCTCCCTTAAAAACAGAAACTCTTCTGCTTTCAGACAATGGAGACCTAAAACTACCAGTAATGGAGGGACTGGTCATGTTCTTCAGGCACAGCACCACAGATTCTGTTACAGCTCTTTGTTTAGTATTAGATAAATGACAGCTGAATCTTGAACTGAAGCTGTAAATACATTTTTTTCATCTCCCTTTTGAGAAAAGGAATAGCATACTTAAACAGTGGGTTTACTGCTGCTCTTAATGTTTTGATTTTTGATTTCAAGGTTGTTAAACAATATTCACTCCTCTAAACAAGAAAATTAAATCTGCAGTAAGCCTAAACAGTTGAATTAACTAATAATTATGTGCTGACTAAAGGATGAATGCTTTTAATGATGAGCTGTGAGAATATCTTGGCTGAGTTGCTGCTTAGCCATACTGTGAGATCAGCTAAAACTAGCCGCTAGATATACCTGATTCAAATGCTTAAAGAAAAAGAGAAAAATCTTGGCTTTTGAAGTGGAACAGGTTGGGTCAAGTTTGAGGTACATTGAAACATTTTCTTTGGATGAAACTGCCAAGAGCAAGAGAAGCCAGAACCTCACCCTTCTCTGATGGCATCTCAGAGAGACCATGGGCTGCAGAAGAGTGAAGCAATTCCCCACTCCCAGGTACAACTCCTCACATGAACACTGGCTACAACAAGAGAGGATTAACAGGTCTGGTCTTGTATGCCCTCTGTATACAGCTATGTTCTCCCTCATTTCATACAAATTTGGATGTTACAAGGATAGCAGACTTGGAAACTAAATTGTGTAGGTATCCTCCAGCCCCACACCTGCCTCAGGTACTGGCACTAAAAGAGACACTGGAGACTAAAACATGAACACATTTAACCCAGCAGTTGTGTTTTGGAGCTCTTAACTCAGGTTTCTCAAGATCATACCCAAGCTGAAAGATGAAGATGAAATGACTCACCATCACCATCTGCTGAGCTGCAACCACTTTCCCCAAAAGCGGTGTGAAGGAATAAGACGAAAATGCTCAATACTGAACTCATCTGTGTCATCCTGTGCACACTGCATAGGTGCAGTACATGTGTGTGTGAAAACCGTGCTTGCTTACTTTATACTAGATGCAGAACAAACCCATTGCCTGATAAAGAGACCGCAGGCAAGGGGAAATGTAAACATGCCGACAAGGATGACTAGTGGCAGAGAGCAGGAAGCCAGTGTGAAGATAGTTGCAGAGCTTTTACTTTGAAACATGCTTCCCACTTCAAAACTAAGGACCTTTTGGATCAGACCCGTTGACTCATTGGGTCAAATCTGGTCATGTCCAGTAGGTTCAAATCATGATTCACCAACAGTGTTCCTGGCTTGGCTAGTGGGATTTCTGCTGCTGATTTCCCTGAGGGCATGGTTTAGTCCTCTCATCCACTTTCCTCTCAGTGTAGGTACACAGGTCCAAGAGAGAAAACTTTTCCAGCTATGGAACATTGTGATCACTGTTACTTGTTCTTTAAATGTCTACACGAAAAGGAACATAGCCAGCAGGTTGAAGGAGGTGGTTCTGCCCTTCTACTCTGTTCTCATAAGACCCCACCCGGAGCCCTGCACCCAGCTCTGGAGTCCTCAGCACAACAAAGACATGGACCTGTTGGAGCAGGCCCAGAGGAGGGCCACAAAAATGATCAGAGCCCTGGAATATTTCTCCTATGAGGAAAGGCTGAGAGAATTGAGGTCGTTCAGCCTGGGGAGATGACTCTAGGAAGAACTTATTGTGGCCTTTCAATATATAAAATGCACTTACAAGAAAGATGGAAAGAGACATCTTACCAGCACCTGTACAGACAGGACAAGAAAGAAAAATTTTAAACTGAAAGAGGGTGGATTTAGATTGGACACAGGGAAGAAATTTTTTACGATGAGGGTGGTGCGACACTAGAATTAGTTGCACAGTAAAAGTTTGGATGCCACATCACTGGAAGTGTTCAAGGATAGGCTGAATGGGGATCTGAGTAAACTGATCTAGTGGAAGTCATCCCTGCCCATGGCAGGATGATTGGGCCAGATCACCTTCAAAGATCCCTTCCAAACCAAAACATTCTGTGATCCTATGAGGTTCCACATAAGGCAATGCTGACCCAGAAAAGCTGTGATTTAAAAGATTAATCCTGAAAAACCTAGCTCCTGAGAATGAAGTGGCACATCTCACATTTTTTAGGCTTTGGAAAAGTAGAGGCAGAAAGCAGAAGATAAAGAGATATGAAATATTTCCTTTGCACACTTTCTATTGCTGTATACACCAACACGAACTGTAACATAATGCAGTGCCATGTACACAGCTGAGTGATGTAGCTAACTACAAGTTATGTGAAGACCTGAAAGAGAAGGGCAAGCTCTGGCACAGCACTGGCTGCACCAAATGAACTTTCTGTTGGAGGCATAAATGAAACTGAGGGCAAAGTTGGTAACAATGTCCAAGCAAACAGAAAAAATTACGAGACTATAATAAAAAGACTCAAAAAGGAAATGACAACAGCTTTTTCATTTACAAGGAAATAATCTAAACCACCCACCAAAATGATGAACGCTCAGCTCTCATGTGTAGAAAAATGTGCTTGCCGAGACATCAGGACTGTCCTGCAGTGTCTCTTGCTGTCCTGAGCAGGGGGCAGTGGGTTGCCATGGGCTGTTTCTGTGCTCCCCTGCCCTGCTTTAATGGGAAGAAATGGTCCCTTTTCCATGAGAGCTCAGTGAGGCTGCTGCAAAGACGGACACCTCCCGTACCTGTCTCAGGTCCCTCCCTGTGGTATGATCCCAAGGCACCCCACCAAAGCGTTCTCTGAAGGTGCACTGTGCCTAGGTAGATACAGAAAAATGGGTTTGGATTCACTGGTCAATATGTAGTAATTTACAGTATATACTTCTATGTCAGAGCTCTTCATGCCTCACTCTCATTTAGTCTTGGCAGACCTCTACAATATCTCCCACCCACACACAGGAGAGGCACCTGCCAGGCCGCAGCAATCACCCACACATACAAAGCAAAGCAGAAGCTGGACATGGCACCACGACCAAGGAGCTACTGAAGATGACAGGACCATGGCCTGACTGACTGTCACTCAAGGGTTTGACTTCACTTACAGGTCACTGACACATTCATATGCTATTCCTTCATGAAATACTCTCTTAAAGAGGTCTGATTCAACTAGTGGAACTTTGAGAGTAGTTCATCTTCATCTCTTCTCCTGTGTTTCCTATGCTTGACTCAAGCTCATTGAAGCTGAATTTGAATCAACAAGATTGAGTCTGGTGATTTCACACACCTAAGGCCTACCCCTGCCTTTTTTCAGAAAAATTTATTTAAGGATTTCAGCACCTTACTTAATAATACTTGATATCATATTGTACTAGAAACTCTCAGGCTAGTTGCTACCTTATTTTTATCCAGAAATGTCAATAAAGGAGGGCTCTCCTGTGCAAACTGATAGTTGTCTGGAAATTGCACCTTCTCACTTTAAATTTCTCTTGTTTACAATTGAGTGGGCTATCGCTTTGATCTTTTTTTTTTTCTTTTTTTCTTTTTTTCCTGTTTCAGCTGGAGCAAACTAAAAGAAAAAGACTTTTCAGACATAATATTTTGGTTGAACCTGAGCAATCTTACTATCAGAACTGTGCTGCTAAGGGGATTTCCATGTTGTCATAGCTATATTTTGTCTGGGTGGGGAAACAGGGACCACAATGAAAAGAAAAAAGAAAAACAACAGTATAGAAAAAAACTCTGAACCAAAAGTACATTCTGTTCCACTTCTGGGTCTTTACTTCAGAAGTTGTTTGATTTATAAGATATATTTAAGCCCACCATCTCACCTTGTTGCCTTCCTTTAGTACCCTGGAGGCAGGAAACCAAATTTGTGAGAGTCTCAGTCTTAGGGCAGCTGAAGTGTTAGTACCCAGGAAAGGCCGGAAGAAGACTGGAGTATTTTTCATTTGCAACACATTACAGTGCTTCTGCATCCTAATTCAGTGTTCCACAAAAAAAAAAAATCCCAGACCAAACCAAACCAAAAAATCCCACAACAAACCAAAACACAAACAAACAAATGCTTGAACAGTTACGAGCTTTGGTGGTCCAGCAAAACTTACCTATGGTTCACTGGGCTGGGCTTTAGCTCCCCTTACATTTTTGGTCATTAACAAAGTTCATGGTACAATACCTATAACTGGGAAGAACAATTTTTTCATTGCCCTGTGGTTCACGAGTGTGTGTCATCCGCGCAGTGTATCAGCTCCTCAGCACTTCCAGCTGACGCCTCCACACGATGCAGTGCCTTCTTGGATTATCACTTACATTGTAGCTATGGAAAATGACCAACCATGGAAGTCAGCTTAGAATTTCTGTTTCCTTGTTATACTGTTTGTTAACTTGTTCTTTTTTTTTTTTTTTTTTTATTTTCCTCAGGACACAAAAGTCTATTTTGATTCTGTTTTGGCTCCAAAAAAATGCAAAAGGCACATGTGTTAGAGTTATGCCTGCTTTAGACTTCTAAGACTAGATTTATACCTGCTTCGAAAGATGAAGTTAGTAGATCCTAATCTTCCCTCAACTACACTTTTCAAATGTTGCAGTTCAGGGAGATACCAGAGCATTTGTGGGAGCTGAGTGAAATGGGTCCTCTAGACACATCCCAGTGTGCAGAACTAGAGATGGGTCTTTGATTGGAGGATACAGACATCTTTGTGTTTGAGGAACTCAGTTGGTGTGTTCTGGTTGGATACACATGGGTAAACCCATGGCCTACCTTAGGAGTAGGAGGGAAATTTCCTTATGTTGATCAGATTTGGCAGGAGCTATTGGGCTTCTTGGTCTCCTCTATGGCATGGAGGTTGCTCTATTCCTTGGGCTTTTAATAACTGTCTAATTATACCCCAGAACGAGGGTGCTGGTCCCTCTACCTGACCTGACCTGTCCCACTCTGCAGAGCTCCTCAAAGACCATTCTATATATACACCACAGCTGCTGATTCAAGAGAGCTTTTAAACACATATCTAGGTCTACCCTCCTCCAATACAACATATAATCTGTGTGTAATTTTAACATGATTCTGAATCTTATTAAATTGTAACTTGAAGAAAAAATTACCCTGAACACCCTACAGAAAAATCTGCCAAAGGATGTTTTTTTTAGATTATTGCCAGAAGGACAAACTGAGGCATTCATGCAGCTCCAAAACATAATTTATGAAACTCAGCAAACACTTGAAACTGAGATTTTAATGCTCATTTTGTAAGTTACAGATTGGTGCCTTAGACTAAAAAATGTGGTTGTTTCCATGGTTATTACCACTTTTATTTTTGCTCTTAGCCAAGAATTAGATAAAGTTAAGGCAAGTAATAAAACAGAATCTCATTAGAACATATATTACATACATACTCAAAACTTTATATTTAGACGTTGGGGTTTTTTTAACCAGATATGCCAGAATGCAGAAATCTTCCAGCTTAAGCAGGAGGGCTGGAG